CGCTCCGCGCTCCCACCCGCCCCGCAGGGAGTGGAGCGGAGCCGCGGCGGCTCCGCGGGTTTTGGAGCTGGGGGTGGGGGGAGAGGCAGGGCGGCGGCCCCGGGCAGCCCTCGGGGCCACCTCTCTGGGTGGATCCCTCTGGGAAGGAGCCAGAGCTCGTCCTTCCTTCCCCGCCCTCTCCCCCCCCCACCCCTTTCCCTTCCCTCACTCAGCTCCCCTCCCCCTTGTGCTGGGGGGTGCTGCCCGCCCTCCCTCAGGACAAACCCAGCACCTTTTAATGGTGCTCTCGGGGTGCCCAGGGTTGCCGGCCCTCCAGCCTAGCCCCGGCGTCTCCAGGAATCAGATATCCATCTCCGGGAGACTGCTGGAGACTGAGCCTCGTTAAAATACAGATGAAATGTGGCGTCCCATTCAGACAGCAGTCCAGCGGGTTTTTCAAATGTAACAGTCAGGGCCGGCCGCAACATTTTGGGGCCCCCTGCAAGATATGGTTTCGGGGCCCTGGAGAAGCTGGCATTGGCACGGGGTGCCAAGCAGCCGAAGAAGCTGGTAGCACCTGCGTCCGTGGTGGTGCTGGGGGTGGCAAGGGGCAGGACGTGAAGTTGGCACCATCAGCAGTATGGGGGATGGGCTGGTGAGTGCCCAGACGCAAAGTCACCGTCGGTGGCATTGGCGGTATGCGGGTGGGTGGCGAGTGCTTGGATGCAGGGGGCCTCTTGGCTGCAGGGCCCCCTGTGGCCACAGGTTTTGCAGGATAGGATGGCCCTGGTAATAGTAATGTGCACTTGCCTTCCTGGCACAAAGTCTACACACCATGCTCCGTAACTGAGAGACACAAGCACACGGACACACTGGCGTTCTGGAAACCTCCCAGGATAGATTCAAACAGAATTGGCAACCCTACCCTGTCCCCAAATGCCCCTCAGCAATGGTGTTACACGGGGGGGGGGGCAGTTTCCAAAGATGGCACTACATCAGCATTTCTCTACCTGTGGGTTGCAACACAAAAGTGGGTGGCAAGAATATACGAAAGGGTGGTGAACAAAATTTAAAAAGGGATACTTCTTTAAAGGAGAAAAACAGGGGAAACTGGCTTTTCCCTTGCAGGCTGGCAGTTTCAGCCTGTGAGGGGCTGCTTGAGGTCCACCCCCTACCTCACACACTGGGGTGGCAGGGGGCAGCAGGTCAGGAGCGAGGGGCACTGGGTTGGGACTGGCCATTGATGTTTACAAATGGGTCCTGGTACAAAAAGGATTGAGAACCACTGAACTAGGTTGTTCTGACAGGACAAGGAACAATGGTCTCAAGTTGCAGTAAGGGAAGTTTAGGTTAGATATTAGGAACATCTGTCTCTGGATGAGAGCAGTAAAGCACTGGAGCAGGTTACTCAGAGATGCTCTGGAATCTCCATCCTTAGAGGTTTTTAAGACCCAGGGGGTGCATCTACATGAGAAGCTACTACATGGTCATTACTGCGCATTTATTTAGTACTTGTATTAGCAAGTACTCAATAAATGCGTGGTAACTGGAGTCACTACACAGTAGCAGTGGTGTATTAGCACTGTCTGTGCTGTGACATGCTACTGTGCTGTGCTGTGACATGCCAATGCAAAATATCCAACTCTCCTTATGCTCTTCCACCTTTTTTCCTTTCTCTTCCACACATATCTTTTTCAGCTACTGCCCAGTCAGTGTCTCATGTAGAAGTGCACACTTAGACAAAGCCTTGGCTGGGATGATCTAGTTGGGGCTGGTCCT